TCCACATTCTGCATTCTTACGCCCGATTTCGTAATAAGTTTGATATGAACATTAAATTAAAATTCACTTTAAAGTGTAAATTTCAATATTAATCATATTGGTTTAAGTCTGCTTAAAATTTTTCTCTTTCAAATTTAAAAATGCTGAATATCCTTTTAGGTTCGGAATACATGACCCAAAAGTTGACAGGAAAAGAATTAATTATTTAAATCAATATGGTGTTTGTTTCTTTGAAAGGTTTGGATTAAAAAAAAATACAGTTATGCAATTTAGTCTAAAATGTGATATGCAATTATTATTTCTATTTTTCAGTGGATAGGATAGTTGGTTGAAAAAGGTATTTTATGATTTATGTTCTGGAATCCAGTTTTTATTATTGCATCAATATTAGTAGTAATACTGCAATTTAATAATTTATTTTATTTACTACATACAATGTTTACCTTTATCATCATAACCTTAATATTAAATGCCAAATCTAAACGTAAACATATACTTAAGAATTTTTACAGTTAAAAATCAATTAAAAAGTTCATTATTGATATATATTACAATAATTATTGTATTAAATAAACAATTTTAAGTCGCTTTATTTGCAGCTAATATAAGACTAAAATATTAATAGTGCTAACACTTTCGCTAATTTATGGCACTAGGTGTCGCTCTTCCGAACTTGCACACAGCGAATGTTCAACCCTAATTATTCTAATATAAGTATTTTACTTGCTTGATAAGTTCGCCATAGACCAATAGCAAGTTCCTTAATGACAGCAGGTAACTTTTGGTTACTATTTAAATGGTCTACTAGCTTTCACAGTTATGGGTCAGAATTCTTTGTTATGTGAGTTTAAGTGAGTTAATTTTATATATGTCTCTTGTTATGGGTAGTTTTGGTAGTGTAGGTGCATTTTCTTCTTTGGGTGCGGTACGCTATGCAGCGTGTAGGCGTTCATGCTAGTTGTTGAATGTATAGAGATCCCTCTTTGTTAATTTCTTATGTTTTTGAAGCATAAATGTTACTTTCACCCAGGACCCCTTCTACTATTAACTTAAACCACAAAGATGAAATTTAGGTAATTATATGTATTAATTCAAAGAATATGACCCAATTATAACACCTTTCACTGCTTAACGAGATCTAACAAATGTCTTTGGACATTAGCTCTTCTTGGGGTCTGATTATTTGTTACATGGTTCACACACGGAATTATAAGCAGCCTTATGAATCACTACATTTCGAAAGACTCCACACGTTTTAGAGATCTCACTTTAAGTATCCAGGTCCCAATTCCATATAACAGAATGGGCCAAATGTAAGGGGTACTGAAATCTAAGGGTAAAGAAAGGTAAAGGTCATAGAAGGTAGCGATAGCTACTCTAATCTTTACCTTCAGGTCACAATCATATTTGATGTTTAACATAGCGTCGAGAAATTTAAATATCTTAACTTATAAGCTATAAGCTCATAGCTCTATTATTTATATGCATTTTAGCGTCCATATGTGGTTGTCTGCTGTTTAATATATATATATATATATATATATATATATATATATATATATATATATATATATATATATATATATATATACATATATATATATATATATATATATATATATATATATATATATATATATATATATATATATATATATATATATATATATATATATATATATATATATATATATATATACGGTTTTTGTTATGTTGATCCGTACTCCTCTCTAACTCCATTTAGAATATTCACTAAAGATCGTAGCTCCTCTATGTTGTTAGCTGTTAGGTATGAATCTTCAGCATATCTTACATTATTAATAGGAAGGCCAATTATTTTGATGCCAGTACTGGGCAGAAAATAGAAGCCTGTCTTACGCATTTTCTTATTTTTTTTTCTGTCTATAGGTCGTTGGTGATCCTCAGTTCTGTTTTTTGATACCAATCTATCTATCTATCTATAGCCCAAAATCTATTCATGTGTTGATTATAGGCCTCTCCCATTTGTCTTCATTTGTCTGTCTTCTGTTTGTCTTTTCCACATAGGACCTGCGCTTTGCTCAATGTCATCTTTTCATCTCATTTGCGATCGACCTCTTGACCTTTTGTAGTATATGGTCTCCAGCGTCCAATTTCTTTATTCTATCTTCCATCCTGATATCTTTCATTATGCCCAGCTCATTTCCATTTTAATTTCAATGCATGTTCGATAGCGTCTGTTGTTTCGGTTTTGTATCTTATCCACTCGTTCCTCTTTTTATCTCTTAACAATATTCCCAACATTTGTCTTTCCATAGCTCTTTGAGTTTTCTTTATTATATCTAAGTTGCTCTTGGTACACGTCCACGTCTGGGCACCATATGTCAGAACAGGTAGGACGCATGCATTAAATATCTTCGTTCTTAATTTTAAAAATATTTTTTGGTTTTTGATAGTATATGAAAGTTTTCCGAATGCAGCCCACCCCATTCTTATTCTTCTGATTATTAAAAGCTGATCAAAGAGGTAAACACACGCCAATCAATAAAACTCCTACCGAAACCATAAATGGTATACATTAACATATCAATTTCTTTTCAAAGTACCAGTCATTATTCCAGAGGAAGGAACAAGAGAAATTATCTGGGCACAGAACTTCAAATAGAAAAGATGTATCAACTGTACATTAATGAACGCAATGAAAGACATGTCGATCCAAAGCTAAGAGCATAAAGGTGGTCGTACTCAGATACATTCACCGTTCGACTGAAAAATAATCATACTGCAAAGGAACTAACCAGTGTACAGGCTGATCATGATGCTCACCTAATTAAATCTAAAACTCGATATAACTTAAAACAATTGGACTTTATAATGGATAAAGAGTCACCAAAACACAAAGTACTATTTGGTGATTTGCAAAAATGTTTGCTATAACTGATTATGCAGGAAAAGATTCAAGGAAAGAGAAGTATAGGGAGGCGTAGAATGCCATGGCTGCGCAACCTGAGAAAGTGGTACGGATGTACATCAAATGAACTTTTCAGAGCAGCCGTCACAAAACTCCGAATAGCTATGATGATTGCCGACCTCCGCAGCGGAGATGGCACTTGAAGAAGAAAAAAAAAATGTTTTCTTTGTTTGCATGGTTTTTGTTTTTTTTATGTTTATTGTTAAACCAATCTGTTCTTCAGTATCACAAAGTGTGTTTAGTATCGTGTGTAGGTCTGTCTCACTTTTAGCGATAATGACTGTATCGTCAGCATAACGGAAGTTATTTATATTTTCACCATTTATCTTGATTTCTTCTGTACAGTTTTCAAGTGCTTGTGTAAATAACTTTTCGTGTAATAAATTATAATGTGTTTATAGTTCTAATTTCTTGTTTTTAATTTAATTTACTAAAGGTTCAATATTTATAACACTCACAAATTTATCAAAGTCTTTATTACTACTAATTTATTTTACACTTAATAAGTATATAATTTATCTACGTGCGATACAATTTTAAACCACGAGCGCGAGCTTGTTTTTGACTAACTGCTCAATAAAAATCCTGTTATTTATATAATAAATGCCGTTATCTAGAACGGTCTGGCAATGCATCGATGACATTCCATCCAGTAGGTGACTCATTCAGCTAGACTAGAAAAGTCGATCGCCTGCTGGTAAATTCGGACGGTCGCGCCGGCTGCATTCGTGGTACCTGATATTTGATCCTTCTGGAGAACTCGGAACATTTTTGGACAAGAGTTGTAAAGCTATACACAGCTTCCACTGTTCCGAAGCCGTTACGAAAGCCAAACTATCTATTACTCCGCTTCGTACTTTCTGAATATTCTTGCATGTATAGTCTTGTAAGTGTGACATTAAGCTGATTAATTTATAGTTATTACAGTATTTGGGGATTTTGGTTTTTGGTAGCGGAACAAATGTCGATAGCAGCCATTCTATAGGTATCTCGCCAGATTTGTATATGTTGTTAAAGAGTATAGTTATTGCACTTAAATTTTCTTCGTCTATAAGTTTAATCAGCTCGATATGAACTTCATCTGGCCCAGGGGCTCTGCCAGATTTTGATTTAATACTATTGGAGCTTCCTCGTTAGCAATTTGTGTTGGTTCCGTTCTTGGGTCCGTGAAAAGATCTACAATATATTTAGTCCATACTTGTTTTATTTCAATTGGGTTATTAATAGGATTATTGTTTTTGACAATTAATCGGTTACATGTATTTGTTCGTGTTTTTCCAGATAATTCTTTCACTTTTTTTATGTAGATTATAATAATCATGCTTTTTCTGCAATTCTTCCACTTCGATGCATGTTTCCATCATCCACTTTTTCTTAGCCTCTTTTATTTCGTTCCTTACAAATTTGTTTTTCTCTGTACTTATTTGGGTTTTTTTCTATATTTTCTTCTTTGTTTCATGATTTCCAGTATTTCTTGAGTCATCCAAGGTTTTTGGCTTTCTGTTTTCTTTTATAGAGTTTCTTTCTGTGTTTTCATAACAGAATTTTTTATTTTGCTCCACATAATGTTCACATTCTCAGTGTTTTTATTTCTGATGTTAATTTCTTTATTTCTTGATTGATTCAAGTTGAAGCCTCTTCACGGATTTCATTTACCTTGAGTAACTGAGCATTCACCTTACAAGTTTTGGATTTTATCTTTTTTTTACCCTCAGTTTCATTTTTTAGACAAGAAGGTTATCGTCTTATTCCTAACGAAAATAGTAATAGCATAATATTTACTCTTTCGTCCGTATCTACACTGTTTTTCGTTAGTTCATTAATTTTATTTCGTGCCTTAAAAGTGTCCCTATTTTCATACAAGAGCTATGTATATATTTTTGAGCCGATTTGCTTATGTAGTCTTTGTACTTCATAATATTATTCATACACAAATTATGACAGTACCCTGGTATAATTATCTACTTATCCATTACATCACAGTTCCAAAAGTTGTAGAAAACGGCCTTGAAACTGCACATACCACATAAAATTAATGTTTGTATTCCCCGTTCCCCTCTTTTTCTAGGTTTTCTGTTGTATGTATTTTGCGCTGTGTGTGTTCGACCGTTCAGCGTTTTAGCACCGAACAACGTCTTTTTAGTACGCAATCAGAACTTTGTCGCTGGAGGTGTGAATAGGTGTGTAGTAGGTTTCTTGTTTAGTTGTTGTCGGTAAGTTATTTTTTATGGTTAAATGTAAACACATGTTTTAATTTTCTACAAAAATAGAATATATACCGGTTGTTTAAAATTTTATAAGTTACGCTCTTGTTGACGTAGAAAATAGCTTTTAATAGTTTACAAATCAACATTTTTCTTATGAAAATGATACTGAAAATATATTAATTATTAGTATTAATATTTATCTATTTATATATTATTATAGAGAGTGAATTATTACGGAAGTAGTTAAGTGAAAAGATAATTGAAAAATAAGTTTGCAGGTTTTTGTTTTGCTTTTTTTAATCATCTAGTATTTTCTCTTTAAAATGTTTTACACTCCTCTATCTAAACCGGTTGAATAAAAATAAATATTAAAATTATAATCAGGAATTTGATTGCATCTGTGTAGTTAAGCTGTTAGTAATTATTTAGTAAGACTCACAAATGTCCAATTTTTTTGTCGATTTAGCCGAAAAGGTGAAAGAGACCTCAAATTTTAATGTTTTCTTGGATCTATATATACAGGGTGATCCTTAAGTAATTGTACAAAAAGATTTCAGCCAACTTGCTTTAATAAAATATTGATATTAAGAAAGATACAAGTTGAAATTTAAAATGATATTTTTCGCTATAACTTGAAATTTAAAAAATTGTTGCGTACTTTGATGTAGCTGATAGAGGGCGCCACCCACATATTCCGCATATATGGCATTTTGCGCTTAATTTTTTTGCTCTTGAAGTTCTTGAATAATAATTCTTAATATTTGTACCTCAAATCACTGAATAGCTATTGATAAGCATAATTAAAAGTGTATTCTTATAAAAACAACTCAAAGATAGTTACTTATTTCTATCTATGTATCTATCTATTCTACATCTATCTATCTATCTAATTAGCCTTCTTCGGTCCATCTTTGGACATAGGCCTCCCCAATCCTTTTCCATTCTTCTCTGTCTGTCGCTACAGTCATCCACCTAGAGCTCACGTGCTTCTTGATATCATCTGGCCATCTTATTTGGGCCTTCCTCTGCTTCGTTTATATTCCCACGGTATCCTAAACGTGTTCTATTTCATCTTCTCCAATTCTCATGGCGATGTCTTCTTCTGTATTTGTTATGGTTTTTGGTCTTGCTGTAATTTATATTTAGGCCTATTTTTTCAGCATGTACGTCCAGTTCTTTCATCATTGTAAATAATTCTTCTTTTTTATCGATTATCAATACGATGTCATCAGCGTACCTTAGATAGTTCAAGCGTTGTCCACAAATTTGTATACATTTTTCTTCCCATTCCAATCTTTTAAAAGTATCTTCGAGAGCTTGATTGAAAAGTTTCTATTTATTTGTATTGATTTTGTTCCTTTATATACTTAAATTGTTGTTTTGGCTTCCTTATATATATTGGCTATTAATTTCGTATATCTGTGGTCAATTCTGCTGTTAATCAAAGAACTTTTTGCTGTCCAATGCTCGACACTGTCGAAATCCTTTTCAAAATCTATGAACATCATATATAGAGGAATGTGGTATTCATTTGCTCGTTCTATAAGTATTTTCATACTTAGTAAATGGTCACTTGTGCTGAATGCCTTTCTAAAACCAGCTTGTTCTTTCGACTGGTATGTGTCGAATTTTGTCGTCAATCTATTGGTTAAAATTTTTGTTAGGAGTTTATACATTACATTAAGGAGTGTTATAGGACGGTAGTTTTTTATATCTGCTTTCTTGTGTAGGATAATAATGACTGGTTCCTGGCAGTTGTTTGGGATTCTTTTTTCTTTTAATATCTTGTTAAAAAGGGAATGTAGAGTATTAATTACCACTTTTCCACCATATTTCAGCATCTCTGCAGTTATTACATCTTTTCCAGTCGATTTATTGTTTTTCATTTCTTTTAATGCCTACTTTATTTCTGATTTGCTTATTTCTGGCTGTAGCTCTTAGTTGACATTTTTTATTTTAGCCTTAAGTTGGTTACATATGTGTACCTACTATGGTCTCATATGTCTACTCAATCCAAAATAGCATTTGTTTGCTAGGATTATTCTTCGCTTGATTTCTTCCGTCCTGACGTTCTCCTTGGTGATCAGGGAGCTTAAGTATGTGAATTTGTCCACCATTTTATCATAATATGATTTTGTTTTTTTTTTAAAGAATTTGTTGGCATTAATACTTAAAATTTTTAGATCAACACTTGTATATACAGATTTTCAATGTCAATATCTTTCAACACATAATATTATAAAATTATATTGAATGTCAAGGTTGGGATCGTACAGTTGTGATGTAATCCAAAATCTCGGGCAAATTTGCGAACGTAGCTGACTAAGCATTTTTATAAATATCAAAAGTATTTAAATTTGCCTAAAAATATAATATCGAAGAAATACCTGAATACATGGCATAAAATACACAAATATATATTTGGGGAAAAACAAAAACTTACATAAAGGTGAGATAATGTAAAAATATTATGGAATTAATAACTTAACATCACAGACATTAACCCTACGTTAGGCGCGTGGATATTACTGAGTCGGATAGGCGCGTGGGCTACAATGGTAACCCAATTTATTTATGAATTTTAATTGGTTGATTTATCTCAATTTAAATAAACAAATTTAAATATTAATAGTTTTATGTTGTAATTAAAAGATAATATAAAAATAATAGAAAATAAACACTAAAAACTTCTAAAAATTTAAATTTTAATGCATTTATGCCTATAATGTTGCACCAAGGTACACAAATTAAATAATAACCTTGTTTTTTGTATTAAACAAACATGCATTGGATAGTAATCTTAGGATAAAACCAAAACATAAAAATTAATTTAACGTTAAAAATTTTTAATGGAAAATAGGCTAAATTTGCTGGATGCACTCTACTTTGATTTCCCTCAATATTCTTTGCAGGTACATCTTATACACTTTTCACATTGTTTTCAAAGTGATCTATCGCGGTTTCGATCACAAAATATACAAACAACTTGTCTGAGGTAGCGGTATTGCCCCGTCTGTAATTTCTAACAGAACACGGTAGCGCCGACGAACTTCCGAAGGCCCTTTTTTTTTTAATTTTAAAAAATTTTAATATAATATACCATTATACACCAGAAGTCTTTACTTTTCTGTGAGTTTTTTTAAAACTATGGTATACAGCCAACCACTGATACGGTTCCTTTTTACTTTATCATTATTTTTTGTTTTTTTTTTGGTTGTGATTTTCCGGTGTTGATGTGAAGTCCGAATTCTTTTCCCTTATGCAGCTTAGCCATTCGGTGATAGTAATCATTCTGATTTCATTAGCTGCTATTATAAGTGTGTTATCTGCGTATCGTAGATTACTGATTTTTCTGCCTTCTATAGTTATTCCTCCATCCCTCCGTCTAGCAATTTTCTCATTATCTATTCAGAATATATGTTGTATAACCATGGTAATAGTATGCAGACCTGTCTAGCTCCTTTCTTTATTTTGTACGCATCTGAATATATTTCGTGTAGTTTATTTTTGACTGAATTTTTATCATAAAGATTTCCTATAAGGTAAACTAGAAGGTACGGTACTCCCATATTTTCCATTATACTCCAGAGGGATCCCATTTCACTAAATTGAAAGCCTTTGTCTAATCTACGAAACAGAGCAGGATTGGTATATTGTGTTTCCTTGCTTTTTCTATTATGTGTCTGATGTTCAGTATCCGCTCCCGCGTTTCATTATCTAGTACGAATCCACATTGTTATTCGGCTATCTGTGAAAATATAAAGTTTTTTAGCCGTTCGTTGATTATATGTAGCAGGATTTTGCTTGTATGAGGAATGACAATAGTTTTGTATTTGCTGCCTACAGTTAGTGATCCTTTTTTATGGATAGGGATAAAGGTTGATTCACATAACTCATCAGGCCATTCACCTGTAATCCATATCATGTTACACATATCCAGTATTACATCTACGCCAATCTCCCCATTGCTTTTAGAGTCTACGTTGATATACCATCGATTCCTGGGGATTTTTTTAGTTGGTTTATTATTGTAAGATTATTGGCTTTGCCTCTCTGATTGCATGTTTCTTGTGATCTGAGACTTATGCATATTTTCAAGTGTCCTTATATAATTCTAAGCAGTAATATTTCCATGTCTCCGCAATACTCCCTATGTCCATATCCTTGGAGATTTTAACGCTAAAGTCGACAAAGGATGCTGTTTGAACATTGTGGGGGATTATGGCCTGGGAAACAGAAACGAACGTGGAGATCGACTTGTCTAGTTCTGTTCTGAAACACGATTTCATTATATTGAATACCCACTTTAAACTACCACCGAAAAGACTCTACACCTGGAAGTCAAATGCAGAGTCAGAGGACAAAATTATTAGGGACCAAATCGACTTCATTCTAATAAAAAATCGATTTAGAAACTGCATCAAATCAGTTAAAACTTGTCCAGGTGCTGACATTGGGTGCTGTAACCCAATTAAAATTAAAAAAGGTGATCAAAAAGAAGTCTCGGAAAAATATTGATACAGCCCAATTACAAGACGAGAAAGTTAAGGAATCAGTTCACAGACAACTGAACAAAAATTTAATTTGGGATAATATTGGTGAAAACGTCGATAAGGGCTTAAATAAAATCGTAACGACAGTAAAAAAATATGTGTGAGAAATTTACAAGACAGATCAAAGCTAAAAAAGTAGTCTTGGATAACAGATGACATATTGGATTTGATGGAACAACGGTGACTAGTAAAAAACAATGAAACACTTTACAACAGCATACAAAAAGAAATTCGACGTAAAATACGAGAAGCAAAAAGTCAACATCTAGCCAAACAGTGGCATGACATTGAAGAACTTGAAAAAAGATACGACACGTTTAACATGTATAAAAAGGTGCAAGAAGCGGCTGGTATCTTCAATAAGAAACAAACTGCATTGCTACAGGATGAAAATGGTAAAGTAATATTTGAAGTAGAGGGCACACTTAAAGAATGGGAAAATTACGTCAAGAA